TGCTGACTGAATTTTTGAAAACACTTGAAGGCTGATGAATGACCTTAACTGGTGGTGGTGGTGGTAAGAAGGCGCCTTCTGGTCTGGGCATGCATGATTTAACCGTGTGCTCTCCAGGCAGCTCTTCCTTATGATTATTTACTTACAAGTTACCTTAACTGTAACTCCTGTTTGCTCTGATAGTATCTTCAGCAGTTATGATTTATTACCTGTGAAATGACAGAGACAGACCCCAAACCCCTGAGGTTTGGCTCAGAAGCAATGAGGAGTATCTGAAGCCCTTCCTAGGGCTGTGTGTTACTTGAGTGCGTCTCCCATGACACTTGGAGTGTATGTGTTTATCCATTTTGAGTCCTAGTTCAAAGATATGGTGAACAACGGAGGGTGTACATATCCAGCAGGGTTGTTCTTGTGAAGATTTTCCAGTAGTTGTCTGGGAAAACTCTTAATTGTGTATTTTAAAACCTCCAAACCCAAGAATTTTAAAACTGCAGCTCTCTTGGCTTCATTAATGCAATAGGAGATTTAAGAAGCAGCTTCTCCCTGACAAATTACACAGGTTACATGCCTGGAAAACACAGTGACTTATTATTAAATCAGTTTAACCTTTGCCAACTATGTTGGAGTAAACACTTGTGCTCTCCATGCAGAGAACTCCTTGCCCAGCAAGCAAATCCCTCTCCCACAGTACCCGCTACAGCCTATGTCTGTTCCACCACATCCTTCGTCTCTCCTTAACAGTGATGTCTCTGCTGAGGTTTCAGGAAGAGTTTAGGATATTAAATGGACGTAGCTCTGATTACAAAGAAATACATGTGCCCTGCCAGTGTTGTTTGCTGCTTGCTTCATTGTCCTCCATGTGCTGGAAATAATAAAATAAGCAGGAAAACGGCCCCTGATGCTTGGGGTAGCAGTTTTGTACTAGTTTTAAGCAGGAAATTGCCTTTTGGCCTTGGACCCTAAGCATAAACAATTCTTTTCAGAGCCAAAATCCAGGCTGTAAGAAATGGGGAGTGGGGGAGAATACCTTTTCCTATCAGCAGCTGCTTGCAGCTTCTGTTTACCCCATGGGTTGCTGTATCCTGCAGCTTTGTGGGAAGCAGTGGGAGGTATCAGCCGCCTTTGGGGCAGCCTCACCTCTATGTGCCGTAAAGAAATGGTAATTAAAGCCTTCTGGTCAGTAAGGGGAGGCAGTGCTAATATTGGAGAGGGGAAAATGAAGTGTTTTGCTGATGGGCCCAGACCCCACATCCCATCAGCTCCTGAATGTGTGTGGCTGCTTGATGGTGAGCACCCCACTTTGCTTAGAAACCAGCTTAACAAGAAACTCCACCTTTTTTCTTTTTCTTGTCCCTCTTCACCATGACACATGCCAAAAGCTGCTGACACAGGCCTAGAAAACACCAAAGCATGTTGTGCTAAGACTTGTTTGTACGTAGATTTGCCCCTCCTTGTCTTAAAGTGTTGTTTTAAACAGAGATGACAAAACTGGTGCCGGAATTTTGCAGAGAAGGTGCCTTTCCTGTTTAATTAAGACTAAATGGATACATTAAGTTTCTCCTTCCCTCTACTTCAGCCCGTTGCAGAGCCCGGGCTTGCACCACAGTGCCAGGGAGCCCTTCAAGGGGAGAACGGGCTCACCAGTGGACCGGCATGTGAGCATCCCATTCCCAGTTATTCACTGCTCCCGGCTCCCCCCGTGGTCCCCCACGACCAGTACACCCCTGACATCTAACAGGGCTTGTGTCTCAGCATGTGAGGACGTGGATAAACCCAGCTACTTGGTGTCTCAGGCTGGGCGGAGGGAAGGTGGTAAAATAGTTCCCCAGATTCATGCCCTCAGTTGGCCTCGCCCCATCCCTCAGCCCAAGCCCGTTTCCCCTGGCAGTTAGTGTGTGCGATGGCAGGGTCCCCCCTCCCGCCCTGACAGGGTGGCAGCAGATCCCACTCACTCGGAAAAGGGGACAGGGACCTTCTGTGGCCATGTCTGCTCCTGTCTCCACAAGGACAGAAATTCAGGGGGACTGGCTCAAGGGTACCAAGGGTACTCTGCTTGAACACCAGGCCATGAAGACATTTTTCAGCCCTGAGAACACATGAAACCTCCCCAATGTTCTTGCTCTTCTCTGCTCTGCACAGACTGTCCCTGAATAGAAGCTGGAGCAATGGGTCCTGGGTGTCCTTGCCAGCAGAGGATGGCTCAGGGATCACAATGCCATCCCCTGCCGTGCCAACAGTAGAGGTGAGTAAAGCAACCAGATTTTCCCTGTGTGTTTCCAGGGGCTTTTCAGCACCTTGGGCATGCGTGTGCATGATTTCACAGTCTCCAGCCCCTGCGATCGCACCACTCTCGGCTGCCACTCACTGTGGCACAGCCAGCCCCGGATCAGGCATGTGCTCCAAACCCTACAGGGTCAAAGCCAGGAGCTGGGCATTGGGCAGGAGCAGTGGGAAATCCTGGGGTAGGGAAGCTCGAGGCGGCTGATGTTCCCTCGTGTGTGCTGCAGATGAGTGGCAGCCCAGGGTGCCGCACTCCCAACCGTACCCCAGCACAGGGGTGGTGAGTCCTGTCCCTCCATGGACCAAACGTGCTTTGTTTGAGTGCCCGGGCCTCCCATAAAGCTCAGCAGACTTTTCCCTGGCTAACCTTCCTCGTTACCAACGTGCATCCTAGTTCCAGCTCCCAGCCACTGGCCCATTTCCTGCCTCTGCAGCTTTGGACGCCAGCTCTGAGCAGATGTCTCTGTTGGATGGAGCTGCTTGTTCTGCAGACATCAGGGATGTTGTTCTCCCCCTCCACTGCAGCCTCCCTGGTTATTCAAACAGCTTAAAGAGCTGATGGCAAATTTGGGATCATTTACCCTTGGGAGATATCTGTATGGGTGCTATGTCCTGCACTGATATTTCAGCTAACATTTCCACTTTCTTTGTGCTTAAGACCTTACCACGCTGGCGCTTGTGGCCATTTCATGTGATTCTGTGATTCATGCTCTCCCAGTTTTCATGGGGACCCTCCTGCCCACCACCGCTGGGGCTGCACGTGGGACATCGCATGGCAGCATCTGTGAGCAGTGACTGCAAAACCAGATCTCTCTTGGGGGGCCGGGGGGAGGAGGGTTGGGGTTTTTTTGGAAGGTGTCCTGGGTGCAAAGTACTGCCAAAACCCTGCTGCCCATTGGCCACCTCGGCTCCCTTCTGGAAGGCAGCCAAGAGGCAAGTGAAAACATCTGGAGCTGCCCCTGCACACACGGATCCTTGTGTGGGTGCAGAATACATCTGGACCACTCCGGTCTCTCCCACCCACTCGATCCCCTTCAGGGATCGTCAACCGGGCTGTCCAGCTCACCGTACACGACAGCGGGAGGGTCCAGCCGCTCCTCCCCCTGCAAACCCGGGTTGTGCAACCACCATGGGAGTGGGGTGGCCGTGACGGGGCGGGGGGAGCCGCCTGCCCTCCCCTGTCCCGGCCAAAGCCACGCGTCTCGCTTATAAATCAGGAGCAGGAGGGGCTCTCCCCGTGTGACGGCGGTGGGACGGAGCACAGGAGGTCAAGGCTGGGAGGTGAGTGTCCCCAGGGGGCTGCAAAGCCTCTCCATCCCCCCCCGCCCCACGCGAGCACCCTATGGCTTGAGACTTCTGAGGTTAAGTGCTATGAATACTTGCAGGGATAGTATGGAAGGGGTGGATGGGGTGGCCGAGGCGGTGCAAAAGGGTAGGGAACTAAACAGCTTACGTAGCTGGGAGATGGCTGTGATATAAGTTAACTCCCACCATGAAAAAAAAAAAACAAAACAAAACTCTACCCAAAACCAAACAGAGAGTTAACAATAAGCAGCTTATGCTAGCATTTTCTTCATTTAAAAAGGTAAAAGTCCAGTTTTCATTCCAAACTTGGAAAGCAAAATATTACTTATGTTTTGCCTTTCTATACATAGTTGAAGCTGTTTGTGGGGAATTCACTTTGCAGGGAAAAAAACCTCCAACTGTGTGCAACCCCATTATTCTACTGAAAACTTCTTGTTGTGGTGAATATAGTATCCCCTGTGCTGGTGGAAGCTGAAAGCACTTCTCAGGACAGAGAAGCCAGTGTCACCCGGCCGTAGTGCCATCCCAGTATGCCGGGTTAATAACTCAGCCAAGCAGGGTGCTCCCTACCAGCGCTGGGGTTAAACCAGGGGTTGCAACGCTCCCTCCCAAGCACCTGTGTGGTGGTCCCCGCTCTGGCAATGTCCAGCTGAAGCCACGGCACGTGGCCATCATCCCTTATTTTACTGCCCACCACTATCAGGAAGGATTTGGGTCCCCACTGCAGTCCTGGGAGCCTCGTAGGGCTGGTCGTTGACCTGGGGGCTGCTGCCCTTCGAGCCCTGGGCCTGAGCCATTTGCAGTCCTGTGACAGACTGTTTGTCCAGACCAGATGTCCCCAGTGGGATGGCTTTGGGAGACCAGTGCAAAAAGCATCCCTAAAGCCAAGGTGTGCTACACCACTCTGCCAGCTTTGGTCGTTGTCAGCAGCATCTTGACAGGGGGACAGCACCACAGTCAGAACTGCAGGGGCTGAATAGTCCTGGTGCACATTTTTTTTTTTTTTTCTAAGAAAGCCTGGGGCAGATGTCCAAAGATAAAATACAACTATTCACAAGACTGATAAGGATGAATAGCTTAAACACAACGTGTAAATAAAAACTGGCAGTGACTTGTGGCTTAAGCAAATGCTTTCCAAGCGAGTTTTGAGGTCAGCCGCAGGGTGCAGCCTGGTGAGCACGTTGTAAAAGTGGATGGATTTAATTAAAAGAAGAAAAAAAAAAAAGAAAGAGAAAATTAAGATTTAAAGTAACTTAATCTAACTTGTAAATTAAGAGCCCAGAATGCGGGTAAAGGGAATAGGGTTTTGGAGGTGGCATACAGAGAAATCACCCTGAAGGGGTGGTGACCATCTGCAAGGTTTCTCCCAGGTTAAACCCTGTTAGCAGCTGAAGTGCCCGGCGGAGACAGCAGGGATGAGAGTGGCAGTGGTGGGAGCGGGTGTCTGTGGGCTGACAGCCACCAAGTGCTGCCTGGAAGAGGGACTGGAGCCCACCTGCTTCGAGCAGAGCCAGGACATCGGGGGGCTCTGGCGCTACACGGTGAGTTGGCGGTGCCTGTCCCCCCTTCCCATGGGAGCTGCAGATTTGCAGGCTGGGGAGCAGGTCAAGCTGAGCTCCAGAGGGTTGGGAAAGGGTGTGAGAGATGGGTGCTGGGTGCTGACCTCTCCCAGCTGCGCTCCCTGAGACCAGAAGGGGAGCAGGGGGATGGCCCCCACCCTGGGGCACAGGGCTGATGCACTCTGGGGTGCCATGACAGGAGCACATCGAGGCTGGCCGGCCAAGCCTCTACCCGTCAGTCATCAGCAACACCTCGAAGGAGATGTCAGCGTTCTCCGACTTCCCCTTCCCCGAGGAATTCCCGGTGTTCCTGCCCCACGCCCAGCTCCTGGGCTACCTCCGGGACTACACCAAGCGCTTTGGCCTCCAGGAGTACATCAAGCTGGGGGTGAGTGATGGGTGCCCCGTTGCTGCCCCGCTCCCTGTGCATGCCAGGCACTGGTGGTGACTCCACTTGGCTTCCGCATTTCAGACCACTGTCATCAGCATCAGGAAACGCCCTGACTTTGCCACCACGGGGCAGTGGGACGTGGTCACGGAGGCCAGTGGGAAGCAGACGTCACACATCTTTGATGCCGTTATGGTTTGCAGTGGCAGTTTCTCCGAGCCGTCCCTTCCCCTGCACTGTTTTCCTGGTACAGTATGCAGCTGCCTGCAGTTACCTGCTTCCAGGAGCCTGGGGGGAGAAGTGTTAGCAGTTCCTCAGGGAAAAGGCTTCCTTACTTCTCTTGCTTCTGCTTTTCAAGCCTCCTGGCATGAACAGCAATACATCCTGTGCTTTAGCAGCTCTGGGTTTTGCAGGCGCTGGTCGTTTCGGAGCAAATTTCCAGGGTGGGATATTTAGCCTCAGAGAAACTGAACAGTATGCGAGATGGAGCAAGGTCCTCTCGGCGAAGCTCCATCATCTTTGACAAGGCTGTGTTCATCACTGCTGTGACGAATGTCCCCAGCTGTCAGCATAGAGAGGGTTACCTTGTCATCAGCGTTATCAAGTGCTTCTGAAGCCACGCGTAGGACAGGTCTGCAGGCTCTTCTGAACCTCTGCATTTCCCATCTTGTAGGGGTTGACTCCCAAGACTGCTCTTGCACAGAACTGTCTTCCAAGTCCCACCCAGCACGTGTCTCTGCTCACTGCCATGCAGGCATGTGTGAGACCCCATTCTGGAGAGGAAACACCGAGTCTGCGTGTGTGGGTTGGAGGGCTGGACCTCCCCAAGTCCCCAGTGAACACCGATTGTTCTTCCTTGCTCTTGCCAACTGGATTGTTTTACGCCAGTTCCCTCGACAAAACCCACGAATGTTCAAGCAATTAAAAGCTTTGTTTCTTTTTCCTCCAGGCATCGAGAAGTTTCAAGGCCAGTACTTTCACAGCCGGCAGTACAAGCATCCTGACGTGTTTCAGGGGAAGCGGGTCCTCGTGGTCGGCATGGGCAATTCGGGAGTGGACATTGCGGTGGAGGCTAGCCGCGTAGCCACCAAGGTACCACCACCCAGCCACCCCAGGAGTGTGGGGAGGGTGATGCTGGGGCCCATAGCTCAGTTTGCCATCACTGCAGGGCGAGCATGTTGGGTTTACCCTGCACGGTGTCCAAACAGTATTTCTGAACCTGTATTTCTTGGTCAAAAACCTACCCTGAAAAAAAGCTGGTTGTTCTCTCCTGTCTCGCCCTCATCACCAGCTGCCAGGAGGTCTTAAAGATGCTGTTGCTGCTGTTCCATTGCATGGCTGTCTTCGCCGTGCCCCTCTGGGGTTACTTTATAAACGCAAAGTGGCAAATTCATCATCCAAACCGTTGATTCTCCACTCTCTCCCAGGTGACCGTTTGCACCAGCCGAGGTGCCTGGGTGCTCAGCCGCGTGTTCGACCATGGCTACCCATGGGACATGGTTTTCAACACTCGCCTTATGAGCTTGATCAGAAACAGCCTCCCCGGGCCCCTCTCATGGGGGTTGATGAACTACAGGGTGAACCAGTGGTTCAAGCATGAAAACTACGGTCTTCAGCCAGATAAGAGGTACTTCTTGGTGGTTCCCATCCCTTGCAGCATCACAGGATTTGTGCTGTGGGAAGGGGGGAGATCTCTAGCAACCAACATCAACCAGTGCAGCAAACAGCGCCCAGGCTGGGGTGATCTCCAGCGGGGAGTCTATAGCCCAGCGGGAGAAGTTAAGTTGTAGCCCCCTTAGGTGGTGCAAGATGGAGCATGCTGGAAATGCCCAGGAGGGACCAGAGGAGTTTTCCTCATGAGGGTCTCTGGGAAAAGAGAAGGAAGGAGGCTTAAAGCATGGATCAGGTCTGAAAAGACATGTTTTAAAGAGTAATTGAGTGTATGGAGGAAGAAGACAAGAGATGTCCACGAGACACTAGTGTTGCATGACAGGGTGACATTGCTGCAAGGTTGAATCGGTATTTGGAGAGGGGGGAGGTAGGGCTGTTTTCTGAGAGCAAATGGCACCAGAAGACCATGGGGCTGAAGGGTCCAGGGAAGGAGGAGCAGCCCGTCAGGGCTTCTTCGTGGTCTCCAACACTCAGAGCCCCTCTGCTCTCCACAGCTGCCCGGTGCGTGAGCCCGTGCTGAACGATGACCTTCCAAGCTACATCCTGACAGGGAGGATCACCATAAAGCCAGGCGTGAAGGAGTTCAAGGACAACTCGGTTGTCTTCCACAACTGCCCTGAAGAGGAGCCCGTCGATATCGTCGTCTTCTGCACAGGCTACAATGTCTCCTTCCCATTCCTAGAAGAAGCAGTCGTAAAGATGGAAAACAAGCACGCATCCCTCTACCAATACATATTCCCGACCCACCTGCAGAGGCCCACCCTGGCTGTCCTGGGGCTGATCAAGCCGTTAGGAGCCATCATGCCCGTGACAGAGATGCAAGCGCGCTGGGTGACCCGTGTTTTCAAAGGTAGGAGAGCTAACATGAGCCCTCCCTTGCACCAAAACGCAGTTCAAACTGGTCACGCCTTGTCCCCTCCGTGCACCAAGAGGGATTTCAGCCCTTGGGGACCCCAAAGCTCACTTCAAAGTGGATGAGGAAGCGTTTCTAGGGCTCAGACTTCCCAAGTTATTTCGCTTCAGATGACCTACAGCAACATGAGTGCATGACTGGACCAAGCTACATGCTACTGGACCAAGCTATACACCTACCTTAAATTATTTCTTTTTCACCTGTTAAGCCCATTGTTTTAAGCTAACACTTTGTACCCCACCTGCTGCAAGCTGCAAGCATGCACTCAGTTCCTTACTGTCACTCAGCTCATGTGCAATCCTGCAAACCACGGTCAAAACTGGGTTGTTCAAGGCAGTATTTTCTCTCTAAAATATTTAGAAGTCAGAGCACAGGGATGGATATGTAAACCTGGATGCAGAGGTAAGAGGCATCTCTAAGATATGTGGCGGATACATCCTAGCAGAATTCACCGCTCGATAAGAGACAGGGTGGTTTGTTCACCATGACTACCAGAGGAGAAGAGTACCATTGCCCCACAAGAGGAATTATTTGTAATTATTGGGGTGCTGAAAGAAACCCACTGGTGTTTTTTGTTTGGACGGGGTTTTTTTTCAGTAATAACAATAATAACCTCCCACTGGGCTGGTGTGGAGAGCTGCATCAAGGCTTCTTGGGGGTTTCTCTTTGGGATGTTGCTCTCTGGGGCTTGCACAGCCCATCTGACCCCACATCATCCACCTGTGCCCCAAGAGCACAAATCTGTAAGAGCAGGAAAAAGTGCAGGTGAATTCATACCACTGTGGAGGGCTGGTCTCTGGCAAATTGCCACTGCCCAGCTAAATCTGGCAAGGACGCTTTCCTACCCTCTGGAGAAGGGCTTCCCATGTTTTGCATTGCTGAATGAGTTCCCAAGTCCTCCCAGGAGTTAAACTCTGCACGATGCTCTCCCCTTTTCTAGGTTTGTGTCAGTTGCCTCCTCAGTCTGTCATGGAGAACGAAGTGAACAAGAAGAAGAAAAACCAAGTGCAAAGGTAAGCCAGTCCCTGGAGCCCCAAAGGTTTTTCCATGGATTGAGGAGCTCCTGGAGTCTGGGGGACAGCAGCATAGCTCATACTCTGTGGCTGCTCCTTGCAGGGGATGCCCAGATCCAGCCACCTCCTTATTCACTTGCACTGAGCCAACGTAACCTTTCATTTGACATCCATATTTTGCCTGTTGATGATGGGAAGAAATTAATTCAGGGTAATAGAGACTAAAGTTTGCTTAGGAATTGGGGAAGTGGGCCAGGGTCCCCAGGGACTGAGAGATAAAATGGCAGAGAAATTAATGGTAATAAATGTAAAGTAATTCAGCAGGGGAGGAAAAAGCCAACCCGAGGTGTACATACAAATTGTCTCACCTCTCAGCATGGAGATCTGACTCACTGTGGGTAGGTGTATCAGCACACCGGCACATGGATCACGGGCAGGTAAAAGGTAAAATTAAAAGCTAAGAATTATTAGGAAATGAATGAGAGAAAACAAGGACATAAAGTGATAAATCCATGGTTCACCCAGATCACTACAGTAAAAAAGGTACAGAAGAATGAAATACAGAATTGCACAGGACAATTGATGTACAATGCAAAACTAAACACCTGTGGACCCTTTTCAGCCCACTGAAGGTGGGATATGAAACCATGGATTCCGCAGAGAGAGTGAACTGGAAGCAATTCCCCAATTCACCACACTTTTTTTGCAATACTCAGTGAAAATTACTGCGAGGGAAACTAAAGGGTGCCACTTTTCTCGTGCTGCACATGACATCTCTGCACAGAGCAAAGGGCTTAAAAAAAAAAAAAAATCCAACTGCTTTGACAGTCTTCTAGAAAAGGTCCCCGAAGGTGAAGAGGGGGCCAGATGCAACTTGTGGGTGATGAAGTGAAAGGCCAACCGATGCACGTGAAAACGTGATGTGTCACAGGCAGGCTTCAGGCCCAGACAGATCCCAGTTCCCACTGCACTTATGTCCTGTCCTTCCCTAAGAGGAACCCAGTTGTGTTCGGATGCAGTAACAAGGCAGATGCAGAGCATCTGACCTCCAGTTCATCTCAGCCCAGCTGAAACCAGTCCTTCTCCCACCTCTTTTTCCTCTCCAATTCATTAAGGTTTGGTCTGTCCTTTGACGAAGTCCTCAAAACCGACTGCCTGGTCTACATGGACAAGCTCGCCTCCTTCATCGGCGCCAAGCCCAGTGTGCTGGGGCTGCTCTGCAGAGACCCCCGTCTGGCCCTCACCATTTTCTTTGGCCCCTGCACCCCCTACCAGTACCGGCTGGGGGGTCCTGGGCGCTGGGAGGGGGCACGCCAGGCCATTCTCACCCAGTGGGACCGGACCCTGAAGCCCACGAGAACACGAGTCCCTGCCGGCTCCTCCAGCCTCTGCCCTTCTCTGCTGACTGTAGTGGGGTTTTTCCTGCTCCTGGCTGCCCTGGTTTTTGGTTTCCAGTAGATTTTAGAATCTGTTTAGGTCTTTTCTGGTCCTTGGGGATGTTACCTCAGGCCAGACAGTTCCACAGAGTGACACAGGAGAGGGGGAATGGGATATCAGCATTTTAAATTTGAATTTTAAACTTTTAACAAACAGCACAAACCTCTCTCTGCTACAGCTCACCCCCATACACAGCTTTGCAGACCTGATTAGCTGGGGATGGCAGCCTCCCCCGGCATTTACTGCCCCTCTGCTGCTCTCCTGCCTGCTGCCATGAGCAGAGCATGGCTGTGTGGCATGGCCTGGACCACACCGGCCAGGATGCAGCAAGGATGAGACTAGCAAAAAAGGCTTTGGGTGTCACAGACAGAGTGGAGCAAAAGGGCCCAGCCCTGCTCTAAATCACCTGGGAATTGGGATCTTCAATCCAGCAAGGGGTTACCTGAGCTGGGTACGCAGGTCAGGCTGTCTCTTCTTCCAATTTTAAACCCTGTGACCCAAAAATCCCAGTTTGGGTTGAATCAATACATCTTTCCAGCAAAAGGGCCCCAGCTGCAGTGGTTTGTCACCCCTGAGACCAGGGCCGGTACCCTGCGGGGCTGAGTGCTGCTGTCTCAGCTCCCCTGTGCTCCCCACCACCGGACAACCCTGGGACGTTGCTTTGTGTGCGGAGAGGCTTTCAATCAATAAAATTTCATCGACTGTGGCAGGAGGGTGCTGCAGGCTGCCACCTTGTCGTCTCCATGTGTGCAGGGGAAGAGCTGGGGGGTCCTGTGCTCGGGCTGGGGCTGTGCCAGCACGTGCCACGGGCAATCCACAACCCTGGGGCTGCAAGGGCTTTTATTGACCACCAAAAACTGGGCTGCACTGTGCACCGTGTCCCCCATCTATGCCATCGGCGGGCAAAGGGAGCGTGTTTTCCTGATTCCCAGGGATGCCGAGTGATGTCTACCCAGCACAGACAGCACGGGGAGGGGACAGATCAGGACAACCCCAACTTGCTGCCAGGGCTGGGGCAGCAGCGAGCTGCGGTGCAGGAGTCCTTGCAAGCGTGGCTCCCTTGGGATTACGCTCCAAACTTCCACCCGGCTCTGCTACGGGGAGATTGAGAATTTTCTTCCAGTGCATTTAAGCACAGCAGAGCGCGGCAGCAGGGGGGGTGTAAAGGTCAGTGGTGCAAGAGACACGGCGAGCTGCCCGGACTTCAGCCTTTCCTTTAGATCTGCGGCTGGAGATACTGGAAGCAAAGTTTGGCTGCGGCTTCAGCAGCGAAGGCACGGCACTGCCCCAAAAGGTTTGCTCCTCTCTTCTCTCCAGCTGGGTTTTGCAGACTTTCAAAGTGGGCAGAGAGGTCTTTGGGGTTTTGGGTGGGGGGAGAGGGGGTGTCACAGGGACCCTCCGGAGCAAAGCCTGGCAACTCTGGAAAAGAGGGGTGGCTTTAGCAGCCCAGGCACGTTGCTACCCTTTCCCAAAGCCATGGGAGGCTCCGGAAACAGGGCGGGCAAGGCTTGGTGTGTCCTGGCTGGATCCTGCAGATGAAGGAGTGGCTCAGGCTGGGCTTTTGGATGCAGGGGGTGGTTGCGCCTTCCTTGTTTTTCACTGGCTTTCTGCGGTTTCCTCCAGTTCCTGTTTATGTTAACTTACTTTCTGACACAAAAAGGGTAGAAAAAAGTTCTAAATGACTCTTTCTTCGGACTCTACAGTAGGAGTGTTTGTTATCTAATCGAAGTTCACATGGGTTCGTTTTTTATCTAGTTTCTTTGCTTTCCAGTCAAGCTCAGTGCAGCTCAGTTTCCACACCCCGAGCTTTGAGTTCCTCCCATTTATGCCCTGCGTTTCCTGGGTTTCTTACCTTTTGTATATTCTGTAATCCCAGCCGCACTCTCATGGTGCTGTGAATCACTGTGCCGTGCTCCTGCTCAGTCAGGCGTCGCTTCATTATTTTTTTAAAACCCTTTTTATTTTCGAGAAAATGCCCTTAAATGGGAAATTAAAAAGGAAAGCGTGAAAACGAGCCAGCTTAGCTGAAATTGTTTCTTGAAAGGGTTTCAGGAGGATCACTTTGTATAGGCAGAAGCAGATAGCTGCGAGCCCCTTCCCCTTCTTTGCATGCACTGGTTTGGGCCAGGAAAGGGGATAAATAGAAGCAGCAGCATATATTAAAAGTGCCTCCTTTTCTCCCGCCTGCAGGAGGGAGTTGCTGGGTGTGGGCTTAGTACAGCGGGAAGGGTAATGAGCAGTGACTGTCCTCAGCGCTGGAGTAAGGAGCTGGCCATGTCTTTCTCCAAGGACAGTTCTCCTCCAGGGACACCTGCAGCTAGAGAAGACAAGGGGTGCTTTCCCAGGAATGGGAAGAGGCGACCAGTGTTTTGCTAATCCCCTGGCTGTTTTATTTCCAGTTGCTCACACGCCAGCCCATTGCCCGCTGTGGGACGGCATGGTGCGGCGCGTGGCTGTTATCGGGGCTGGGGTCAGTGGGTTGGCCTCCATCAAGTGCTGCCTGGACGAGGGGCTAGAGCCCACCTGCTTCGAGAGGAGCGAGGACATCGGGGGGCTCTGGCGCTACACGGTCAGTGGGCTCTGCCTGCAGTGGGAGGATTGTCCCTGGGTTTGTCCCCTCCCTTGGATGCCCTGTGCCCGCAGCAGAGAAGAAAGTGTGGACATGCTCTTGGGAACCATCCCTGTCCCCGACATGGGGCTCCACTCAACTCCAAGGTGGAGAAGGAGATGGAAGGAGCAGAAGCCGTGGTCACTGGGTGCTAATACTAGTTTATTCCTTGTACCCAAACCCAAGGAGGAAAAATATTCAAATACTCTGGGGGGAGAAAGTCCTTCCCCTTACACCTGCAAACAGCACCATTGGCTTCACACAGGACTCCACAGATGATGGGAGGGTCAGTGTGTACCGGTCGGTCATCACCAACACCTCCAAGGAGATGTCCTGCTTCAGTGACTTCCCCTGCCCAGATGATTATCCCAGTTTCCTACCCCATGGCCTCCTCCTGGAATATTTTCGGATGTATGCCCAACACTTCAACCTCCTGCAGCACATACGCTTCAAGGTGAG